GTGATCCAGCTGTTTTTCACATGTCGATGCTGTGATCCAGCTGTTTTAAAAAAAAAAAAAAGCCACAACAGAGTTTCATGGAGGATTACGTGGGTTTAGTTACTGAATAAGATTATGGGAGTTAGTCAGGGGGCTGACTAAGCAATTACCTGGCATTTACCAGAAAACAAGTTGTTTAAAGTCTTGTATAAATAGGATTTGTAAATGGAGTCCCCTTGCTGTGCCTTTTGACATGTGAAAAACAGCTGGATCACAGCATCGACATGTGAAAAACAGCTGGATCACAGCATTGACCGTCGTCTGCAGCTACTCCGCTGTCGGGACCAAATGTTTTATTTTTGTTATTGTTACTGGAAGAAAAGGGGAATGTTTTAGATGACCTTAAAATAATGGCCGAGGCACTTCTTGTTTTGTTTTAGGAGAGAACGTGCACATTAAAGCAGCGGTTTGAAATAAACACCACACTGTAAACACTGACGTTTCCTCATCCTTGACGTCCTGAAACACGAGGACATCTGCAGAGGACAAACCTGAGTAAAACCTTTAAGAGGCCTCGTGTGGAGAGACTTCTGGAGCTGCTGCGCCCAAACACTATGAAGCTAAGCTAATACAGGAGTCCCTCATTTATCACGGGGGAGCCGTACCCCGAAGCCTCACGGTAAGTGAAAAACCACAAAGTAGGAATAGTAGCACAAGTAGTACAGTGAGGAAATAAGTATTTGAACACCCTGCGACTTTGCAAGTTCTCCCACTTAGAAATCATGGAGGGGTCTGAAATTTTCATCTTAGGTGCATGTTCACTGTGAGAGACATAATCTAAAAAAAGTAATAATCTGGAAATCACAATGTATGATTTTTTAAATAATTTATTTGTGTGTTACTGTTGCAAATCAGTATTTGAACAGCTGCCAATCAGCAACAATTCTGGCCCTCAAAGACCTGTTAGTCCGCCTCTAAAGAGTCCACCTCCACTTGTTAGAAGCACCTGCTTGAGGTCGTTAGCTGCATGAAGACACCTGTCCACCCCACACAATCAGTAAGACTCCCAACTACTAACATGGCTAAGACCAAAGAGCTGTCCAAAGACACCAGAGACAAAATTGTAGACCTCCACAAGGCTGGAAAGGGCTATGGGGCAATTGCCAAGCAGCTTGGTGAAAAAAGATCAGCTGTTGGATCAATTATTAGAAAATGGAAGAAGCTAAACATGACTGTCAATCTCCCTCGGACTGGGGCTCCATGCAAGATCTCACCTTGTGGCGTATCAATGATCCTAAGAAAGGTGAAGAATCAGCCCAGAACTACACGGGAGGAGCTGGTCCATGACCTGAAGAGAGCTGGCACCACTGTTTCCATGGTTACTGTGTAATACACTAAGACGTCATAGTTTAAAATCATACATGGCACAGAAGGTTCCCCTGATTAAATCAGCACACGTCCAGACCTGTCTTAAGTTTGACCAGGACCTCAGTTAGAGCACTGAAGATGGGTCGTGGCTGGTTCTTCCAACATCACAATGACCCGAAGCACACAGCCAGGAGAACCAAGGAGTGGCTCCGTAAGAAGCACATCAAGTTTCTGGAGTGGACTAGCCAGTCTCCAGACCTGAACCCAATAGAAAATCTTTGGAGGGAGCTCAAACTCCGTGTTTCTCAGTGACAGCCCAGAAACCTGCTGATCTAGAGAAGATCTGTGGAGGAATGGACCAAAATCTCTGCTGCAGTGAACCTGGTGACAAACTACAGGGAACCTTTGACCTCTGTCACTGCAAACAAAGACTACGGCACCAAATATTAACATTGATTTTCACAGGTGTTCAAACCGTAACACAAAAATAAATTATTAAAAAATCATACATTGTGATTTCCAGATTTGTTTTAGGTTATGTCTCTCACAGTGAACATGCACCTAAGATGAAAAGTTCAGACCCTCCTTGATTTCTAAGTGGGAGAACTTGCAAAGTCGCAGGTTGTTCAAATACTTATTTTCTCACTGTAAGTAGTAGTTTATTTTATTATATACACACACACACAAGGTGTTTTAAACCCTTCCCACACTCTTGCAATATTCAAAACAATGTTTCTAAACTTTAAACGCTCAAAAAGAGCACAGAACGTCATGATTTCAGCTTCCTGCTTCCTCTGCTCTTTGCCACCTGCAAGCGCTCTTGGCCACGCCCATCTCCGCTCTGCATGAGATCAGCTGCAGCAGGAAGTTTTTCCTGCAGTGTGGGCTGCACAAAGGTGCAGGAACTGCTAAATAATTTAAAATAATTTACAAAGTATTTTAAATAAAACTGTCATGCCGATCGTGCGGCTCATCCATCAATCAGCCAATTGTGTCTCATGTCCAATCTTATTTTGAAAAACCGCGATAGAGCGAGTTCGCAATAAACGAACGGTGAAGTAGGGAGGGACTACTGTGCATATATTATGAGGGTTTCGGGGGGAGTAATACTTGCTTCTTTCTTCTTTGACTGCTCCTTTCTTAAGGGGTTGCCACAGCGAACTGAGTCGCACTAAGACTTGACAATTGTTTTAAGGTCGGATGTTCTTCCTGACACAACCACAGACACCGAGCTACCACAGCCCTCTGTGTGGAGCAGAGAGCCGCTATCTAGGACACCCAGGGGAGAAGATGGTGGGGGTTAAGGGCCTTGCTCAAGGGCCCAGAGTGGAGCAAATGAGGGTGGAGGCAGGTGTGGGTGTTTCACCTTTCCCACCCACATTTTGATGTTGGTTGGGGAGTAATGCTTACAAAACCATCAAATTTAAAGGGATGTTTCAGCTCGTTTTCGGTGGATTTCTGTGTCAAAGTTATCAAATTTATCTTGCCTCTTCTTAAATGGCACAGTTTGGTCATAACGCAGCTAAAACGAGTCATTGTTCTTCTTTAGGCTGCTCACTTCTTCTAGCAGCGCCACAGCAAGTGAACTTGATTTAAAAACTTTAACGTAATTTTATAAACAGTTGCCATCAATTTCCCAGTGTGCAAACGTTTACTTTGGATTTTGTGGTTGTTTACAAAGCAAACAGAGCACCAGCAGCAGCTAGCTGTAGCATGTCTCATGCAGCCCTGGGACTCGACTGAATGTGGTTTAAAGGTTTAAATGACAGCGTCTGCATGACTCGCTACAAAATAATTCAGAATTAAGTTTTTAAGACAAAAAAATCAACTTTTAAAATGCTTGTTTTAGGAAATCTTTGCAGCGTGTGACACGTTGACCGATTCTGCTACAGCTAGCTGCTGCTGCCACGTTTGTCTTGCACGTAGCCATGTTGGGTGAAACTGACAACGGTGTATTCAGGTGGTCATGTGCAGAGCTGAGACATTCTGGAGGTAAGACGGCAGCAAGCCTTCGATCTTGACCGGCTCAGACTAGCCTTTAGCTCATCAGTCAGCCTGAACTTTATTCCTCCAAACTGAGGCTGTTTTATTGGTTTAAAAACAAACGGAAAGCTCCAGAAGAAATATGTAACGGCACGTAAATGTCAATGAAAGCAAAAGATAAAAAAAATAAAACTTTATTACTTCAGAAACAAAAGTGATACAAAACAAAAACTTTAGTTCGAGGCCTGAGAGGTGAAGAGAACAGACTTTATGTTACAATAAACTAACAGAGGTACTGTTGTACACTTTGTACAAGTACTGGAGTTATTAAACATCTGACCTGAATGGAGTGATCGGTGTACTGTTTTATTTACTCACTGTACTTTAATGAACTTCACAGAGAAACAAATGATGTTAGACTATTAAAAAAAGGCTGTTAAAGAATAATTAATGTGCGGCAGTTCACAGAATGTCATTTACAAAAAGGTCATTGAATCTGTGACGTTCTTTCTCAAAGTTCTTCCATTTAAAACAAACTGACGTGTCCTCAGTCACAGGCGTCGCCTCCAGTTTTGTGTTTTCTGTGTCCGTTTGATGAACAAGTTTCAGCCTCAGTGATGGACACGCCGTTTCCATGGAAACAACAAAATACTTGGCCTCCCTTTCCTCTGCCTCCAAACGGCGTCGGGGTCCAACTCGCCGACGACAGTGAAGAGTCCTCTTTCTCTGGCTTCAACAGCCACTGTTGCGACGCATGAAAGCGTGGCCCCTGACTGGGTAGAACATCTCTATGAAGGTGAGGGGCCCCACAGTGATGTCAGTGGGGCCCAGCACCTTGAAATCCAACTTCTGGTAGAAGGGAACCAGGAAGTCCTCGCACATGAGGACGGCACGGCGCACGTAGGGCAGGCAGCGGAGGTACTGCAGGTAGCGCCACATGAGGATGGAGCCTTTTCCCTGCTGCCGGAACGTCCGGTGGACAGCCAGGACGTGGATGTGGACCGTGGTTCCATGAGGCTTATGGAGGGTCAGCGCGTCCTGAGGACAGACAACAAGTGTGAGGACAGGTCAGCTCTGTTAGAGAAAACTGAAAAGATTCAAGCAGAAGAGCAGTCACAGAATCAGACGGTGGAGCAAATCATGAAACAAGGAAACCACGAGAAGTGGATTTAATGCTTCATACGAGTGACTCCAGACTCACTTCAACTGTGTTCAATCAGCTGAAGCTCTGTGGTCCCTGAACTGAAGCTCTGTGGTCCCTGAACTGAACCTCTGTGGTCCCTGAACTGAACCTC